AAAACGGGTCTCCGGTTCTCTACACTCACTATACAAAACACAACAACAGTGGTAGAGCCACGCGGCAGTTTTTGCTGTCGCACGGATGGGCCGGCTCGAACCGGGGTAGTACCACGACCTCACAGAAAACCAGCGTGAAGTAGAGGTTTACCTCTGCGTTTCGCTTGGTGAGTGCAGGTGGCCGGAGGCCCTTTTTACTGGAAATGAGGCATTCCATCTTAGTCCTCACGGGTGACAACGCATCTACATTTTGATTTGTAACAGAGGATAGATGTAGATTTCTATGGGCCGCGGCAACCATTTACCATCAGGTGGACTGTGTGCTCGTTTGTCACTCTTATCTTATAAAAAAAAAACAGCAGCATTAGGCTGGTATTCTGTGAGAGCGTAGGCCTTCCCTGGTCGAGCCGACCCATTCGTGCTACAACTATACAAATATTAATTAATGTATAAATCAATTATATATTTATTTAGCAACATGACTCTACCACGTCTATCATAGCATCGGACTTGAAACCTTGAAAAAAAATCGCCTTTGCTTTTCCAGTGACGATTAAATTTCAGATATTCCTAATACGTATAGTAATAAGTTTAATAAAAACCCGCGTCAAAGAATGTATAACTAACACTCCAAGAAGTCTGAAGTTTGATCATATCGTAGATGGTCCTCGCCATTACATTAGATTCGATAGAAAATGTTCGCGAAAGAACATCGGTTCCTACCAAGTATGATACGTGAGGCTATTGAAATTAAAAAAAAAACATGATTGAATAGAGAAGCACCTGTTTGGGATCCTGTAATTAATCAAATTAAGACTAAACTAAAGCATACCACTGCAAAACCTCAAGGAACAGTAAGCTTATTCTGCGTAGTAGTAATAATTAGTAGTAGTAATAATTAAAAAGCTGAAGGTGAACTTTGACATCGGGACGTCAATTACCTCAGTTACCGTGACTATGGGTGCTACAAAGCACCCGAAACGTCGGGAATTAAAATAAGTAAATTAAATGCGATAAAATCCGTAAAACTAGTTTATTCAACGTATAGCCGATGGTAAGCAGGTTTCTATCCGCCGCTCTATCTATATAAAGAACGAGTAGTTTTCAGCATCAGATTCAGTTTAAATAGGAATTAAATGATTAAATTTATTTGTGCTTTGCCGTATCTATCACAAGTTTATTTTGTGTACAACGTGATTAATGGAATGCAATGTAAAATGCTCAAAACTCAATACTTTAGTTTTGAGCATTTTACTCAAATAATCCAAAAGCAACGAATGCTATTTGCATATTTTCATTATTTTAACTTGCTGGTATCCGTCACGTCGCTGCCGCGGAAGAAATAATTATTGCGAAAATGTCGTTTTAAATTTGGAACAGTTATATTGTTTTATTAGGAATGATTATACATTCATTGAACTAGTATGATATATGAATTTCAGGTAAATTTATCGGTACAATACGCACGCAACCTACTGTAGGTTAATTGTACTATGTCTATAACATTCGAACAAGCAAGCAATAAGTTGACAAAGTTTTAGCGCAATCTGATGAACGGTAACTATGGCAGCGCATAAAATACGACCAAACAATAATGAATTAGGCTCTACCACGTATAAAAATGGCGCTTGTAAATTTCTAAAAAACAATACAGCTATTTCTCAGATACGTTTATTATATTTATGCTCAAATACTCAAACGTTGCTCAATTGTTGTTATATAACATGTTTCAGTAATGTGGAGGCTGAATGTTATAAAAAGTGTTATATAACTTGAACGGCAGAACGACAAACGACAATGTCATATAACATTGTTATATTGCATTGTTATTCTAATGTGTACAGTATTGTTATATGTTGCAATGTTGAAAAACAATGTTACATAATGTGGACGTATTATAAAACAAAAGTTACACAACATGTTACTTAATCTGTACGCACCCTAAGATGCCGTTAAGTCTCGCGCTGTCCCTGTCACTTCAAGTAAAAGTGACTGTGACACACGAAACTTAACGACATATTAAAATTGAGTCGTTTGATTAAAAACAATGAAATGGTGTAAAGCTATAATATTTTCTTAAGCGAATTAAGAGCTCGTTCAAATCCAGAAAAAAAAAACAAATTTTACCCCCGCGTCTCTGCTGCTCCCTCCGCACCCATACCTACAAAGAATGCAGGATACACATGTGCGTACATCAGTGAGATGGACGGCCGTCGGTCTTTGGCGGGATAAAAATTATAAATTAAGCAAAATTATTTTAATTTGACATCTCGTACATTTTAACTTAAAAATAATAGTACGTATTTTATCATTTCAAATATTCTCGATAAGCACTCTGTTTTTCTATTAAAATATTTTCAACAGCAGCGTGAATTCAAGAAGTTTTAACAGTGGTAGAGCCACGCGGCAGCTTTTGCTGTCGCACGGATGGGCCGGCTCGAACCGGGGTGGTACCACGACCTCACAGAAAACCAGCGTGAAGTAGAGGTTTACCTCTGCGTTTCGCTTGGTGAGTGCAGGTGGCCGGAGGCCCTTTTTACTGGAAATGAGGCATTCCATCTTAGTCCTCACGGGTGACAACGCATCTACATTTTGATTTGTAATAGAAGATAGATGTAGATGTCTATGGGCCGCAGCAACCACTTACCATCAGGTGGACTGTGTGCTCGTTTGTCACCCTTATCCTATATAAAAAGAAAAGAAGTTGGTCTTTTACTTCCGTGCCTCGGAAAGCACGTAAAGCCGTTGATCCTGCTCCTGATTTCTACGGTCGTGTCTGATTACGGTCGCTTCGGACTATGAGAAATATAGAATGCACCTGTACTTGCGCCTATCCTCGTGCTTAAAATCCAGTCCTGCGCAGATGCTAGTTTTGTTGAGAATGACCACCGTCATCGAAATACTTTTCTGAAGGGCATTATATTGATTTATCAATTTGTAATCTCTCGATTATCAATTATACCTAAATGAATTAATGAACCCCTCAAAGTGTAACGTTTTAAGTAATAATTGTGTTACGCCCGCATAGTTTGTTTATATGTCAGTTAGACTTTCCTTTAATGACAGTTGAATCAAAGAAACAATGTTTTTTGTATGTAATGTGATTTCGATATGGAAAGAAATGGAAGAGATCTATTTTACATTTCTTTCCGTATCTAAATCGCATCCAGCATGGTCGCGTACTCAGGGCTGACAGTTTTCCAATAAAACTGCGTAAAAAAGCAGGCTCACTATTCGTCGTTGATGCCGCAAATGGGCGAACCTCAATTTTTCAAAAAAAATACAGTAGAGCAAGAACAGTTATTATTCCTTTTATATTAAACTCAATGGAAAACTACAAATAAGATTAATTTTCTGATGAAAAAATGCTAGTAATCGGGGAATAATAAATGTTTTCTTACTCTCCTGTAATTTTTTGAAAAATTGATGTTCGCCCCTTTGCGGCGTCAACGGCGTATTGACTGTGGTATTGAGGCGTGTTCACGGCAGTCGCAACAATGTCAGACAGTGAAGACTGCCCACTAGTCAAACGCATGTGCCAAATTATTATTACAAATTATTTATTAAGTAACATGGTGATAAGTCTTCTTTGTTACTATTATTTATGGATCACTAGTCCGATGAATAAATACCGTACCACGGTACCGTGTGACGGTACCGGCGGTGTAAGAATATTCACTACCCCATTATGCCGTGGGTGCCGTAAGAGGCGACAGAGGGCAACAAATCAGGAGATGGGCGGCAGCGTCTTCGTAATAAAAACTGTGTTTGCCAACTTGCTACAAGCATGGCAGCTATGGCAAATATCCCCCTATGGGGGAGGCCATTGTTCGGCAGTGGATTTAATAGGATGTAACGGTATTCATTCACTTGCCAAACGTCAAAATACTTCCCGCATAGACATGACCCACTACTGGGCAAAAAATAGTCCACGGCTCAAATACAACATAAAGTAGGGAACCGAATACGTCTTTATTTCAAATAAATGTAAGTTTCCGCACAATGTTTTGTTTAATGATATGTCAGGGATTAAATTAGATATTGTTTTTATATAATTGAAGTGACTAACGACCTTACTGCCCGGTGTTTACCTTTTGGAAAATGGCTATTGCATTATTAAAACCAACTTTAAATAAAGAAGGCAACTACAAATGCGTTGACATATGTGAGGACTAAGATGGAATGTCTTACAGCCCAAAATTGTGCTGGATATCGATTATACAGGATTATTTCTCAAAGAGTATCCAAATTGTATATTTAAGTTCAAATATATAAATAGTGATATACCGTTATTGCAGTTTTTGAAAATACGAGTAAATAAGGTTTCTAATTTTATTTGAGGTTATCCCAAATCATATGTGATTTATGGGCAAAAACGAGTGCAATTCAATTCATAACGTTTTTGGCGACTGCGCGACCATTACGAATGTGTGCGTAGTAAAATACTCGTAGTAGGCTTTAGATATTTATGAATGACAATATAGACATTTATTACGAAGTATTCTGAATTTAAAAGATCTTTAAAAAGGAGGGAATGTTTAAGATTTTTATTTAATAAATTTTTCTTCACCATTCGTCTATATTACTTATTCTGAACCTTCTATCTCTATATTGCAAAATAACCCTGTATAATACACTATACATACATTACCTAGTTCGCAATCACCGATAAAATCGAGCAATAAACATCAACGCTTATTATTATTATTACTTTTAAAGAAAAAGGCAATGACGTAATACCAATTTTAATAAACTTTTTATTTATTCTTACCGCAATTAATACATTAAAAAATTACTATTTACAAAATATATGTATTAAATATTTACTTTATAAAGTTAAAAATACCCTTCTTTAATACACTGACCTTATTACTTTAAACTATAGGTACATTTAATTTTATATTATATATCAAAAAAATCTAATATACGAATATATAGGTATTTGCATTAAAAATTATTTTTTATTTTAATTTTTAAATACCATTTACTATAAATGTAAATTACCGCCGACGAAAACTAACTACAGTGATAATAAACGAAGCCATCAGTATAGTTAGGAAGCTGGTGACGTCATATCCTCTTCCAGCTCTATTGTAGAATCCACCGTAGACCTGAAGACCGGCAGTCTCAATGCTATAACAAAAAAAATATTATTCCTTAACTTAAAGTTAAAAATTACAGACTGTACTGTATTCTACAGCTGGGTGTAGGCCTCCTCACATTTCTGAGAGCGTTTGCAGCAGTTAGGTAACTTTTTATTTACTGAAGTGTATTGGACAGTAGCAAGAACATCTGAACGATATACAGAAATTCACTCTAAGGCCTATATAATATTTATTAAATTTATCAGGGAACCAAACCTGCCCATTTTGCATAACAAATGATTATTTGTATTTGATCAGTTGATAGCTTTATTTATTAGAATCAAGTCGTTTCAAGTAACATTATATGAGAATTATTTATTTTAAAGAATAAGGGTGACAATCGAGCACACAGTCCACCTGATTGTATGTAGATCCTGTGGCACATAAACATCTACATATTACTTCGATTAAGAATCAAAATGCGGATGCTTTGACACCCCTGAAGACTAAGATGGAATGCCCCATTTTCAGTAGAAAGGGTCTCCGGTTCTCTACACTAAGGATTTAGAGAGGGTTTAGAGAGGAAATATAATTATAGGCTGGAAGCATCTTAGTCCTCAGAGGTGACAATGAATCTGTAGCCTTCTAATAATAATAATAATATAATAATAATTGGGTTTTTATATATTTATGTATTTTTTATGTATTTATTTTATTTTATTCATATTTATGTATGTTTACCATTTTCATTTACAATTATATATTTATACTGCCCAACCAGATGAGAAAACTTTATAGATACCCCAAAATAATAATAATAATAATTCTTTCTGATATTTATGTATGTTTATATATTTCGTTTACAATTATATATTTAAACAGCCCAACCAGATGAGAAAACTTTATAGATAACCCCCATAATAATACTTTATTATCAAAATCCTATCCTTCTTGGCTTAAAGAGTTTATATTTCGAAAGTCCAGCACTTTGCGACGCTCCGCTGTCGTCGAGAAATATTTCTATTTTCATACATTACATTCTACGTTGTAGAGCCATGCTACAACTATATTATGGTGGTAGCATTAATTGGTCGGCTCGACCGGCGAAGGATCAAGTTCGTGTGAGCTATTCACAGAATAACATCATAAAATAGCAGCTTAATGCTGCTGTTTTTCATTTGGTAAGTGTAGAGAACCGAACACTCCTTTTACTGAATACACATCTGCATTTTCATTTTTAATCGAGGATAAAAGTAGATGTCTATGGGGCACAGTATTCATTTACCATCAGGTGGACTGTATGTTCATTTGTTACCCTTATTCTACATATAAAAATGCACATGAACGTATCATGTATTGCTCGTAAATTACGAGTTTTTTTTTTTTTTATAGGTGAGGGGGCAAACGAGCATGCGGCTCACCTGATGGTAAGTGACTACCGCCGCCCATGAACAACCGCAACACCAGGAGAATTGCAGATGCGTTGCCGGCCTTTTAAAAAGGAGTAGGCTCTTTTCTTGAAGGTCCCTAAGTCGTATCGGTCCGGAAAAATCGCTGGTGGTAAACTATTCCACAAGGAAGTTGTGCGAGGAAGAAAACATCTTCTAAATCGCACAGTGGTGGACCGCCAATCATCCAGATGGTGTGGATGGTATCGGGAGTTCTGCCGCGATGTGCGTTCGTGAAATTTGGCGGCTGGGATTAATACGAACAATTCCTCAGAGCACTCCCCATGGTAAATGCGAAAGAAAATGCTAAGAGATGCAACATCTCTTCGCAGTGCCAATGAGTCGAGCCGATCGGAAAGGACTCGGTCGCCGACGATTCGAGCCGCTCTGCGCTGGATGCGGTCAAGTGGAAGAAGCTGGCACTGGGGAGCCCCAGCCCAGAGATGGGAACAGTATTCCATGTGAGGCCGAACCTGCGCCTTGTAAAGTTGCAGGCGTTGAGCCGGCATGAAATACTGTCCCGCTCTGCTGAGCACGCCAAGCTTTTTAGAGGCCAATTTGGCCTTCTCTTCCAAGTGACCACGAAACTGCACGCTACTCGATATGTCGACGCCAAGGATTCCGATACTGGCTGAGGCAACAAGGGGAGTACCTTGAAACTGAGGAGATACGACAAAGGGGTTCTTTTTAGCGGTAAACGCGCAAACTTGTGTCTTCTGAGGATTAAACTGGACTAGATTTAGTCGCCCCCAATCCGAGACTTTGTCCAGCAAAGACTCGACTTCAGACACAAGTTTGTTCCGGTGCTCGGTGACGTTTTCCCGAGAAATATTGGCACGGCCGGTGTATAGAGCATCACCAGTGCTGTCATCTGCATAGCAATGAATGCTACCAGCTTGCAACATATCATTGATATGCAGAAGAAACAGCGTTGGTGATAGCACGCAGCCTTGTGGAACACCAGCGTTAATAGGCTTGTAGTCGGAGCATGCACCGTCTACAACGACCTTGATGCTCCGATCTGCAAGAAAGCTGGTGATCCAATTGCATAATTTCTCGGGAAGCCCATAGGAAGGGAGCTTCGAAAGAAGCGCTTTGTGCCAAACCCGATCGAAGGCCTTCGCAATGTCCAAACTAACGGCCAATGCCTCCCCCTTGGACTCTACTGCCAACGCCCATCTATGAGTTCAGTAGACCAGAAGATCACCAGCTGATCGACCCCGACGAAAACCGTACTGGCGGTCACTAATCAGCTGGTGATCCTCAAGGTACCGCATGAGGTGGCAGTTTACAACGGATTCCATTATTTTGGAGAACAAGGGGGTGATGGCGATAGGCCTGTAGTTGGACGGATCTGAGCGGTCGCCTTTTTTAGGGATCGGGTGGACAAAAGCTGTCTTCCATGATTTCGGGACTACGCCTAGGGAGTAGGAGTACCGGAAAAGACGCGTTAGGACCGGTGCCAACTCCGGAGCACACGTCCTCAGCACAATTGGGGGGATTCCGTCAGGCCCACTCGACTTGTGGATGTCAAGGGAGAGGAGTGCTCTGCGAACCGAGCGCTGTGAGAATCGCACATCCGGCATGGAGCACTCACACCGCGGGATGGTCGGCGGTGTGTTCCCCCCGTCATCAACAGTCGAGTTGGACGCAAAAAGGGAGCCTAAAAGGTCGGCCTTCTCTTTTGCGTCGTGGGCCAGTGAGTCGTCCTTCCTGTGCAGAGATGGTAGTGATGGCTTACAGAAATTCCCTTGGACAGCCTTGGCGAGAGACCAGAATGCACGGGTTCCCGAAGGAAGGCGAACTAGTTTCTCGCCAATTCTGCCTATGTGCTCTGACTTTGCCTTGGCAATAACTCTTTTGAAGGACCTGGAGGCGAAGTTATACTTCTTTTTGAGTGTGCTGGTGTTTACATCCCGAGTCACCGAAGCCGCAGCCCAGGCTTGATAACACTCCTGCTTACTGCGTAATGCAGTCTTACAGGAGCGACCAAACCAAGGCTGAGATCTGCCTCCGATGGGTACCACAGATGATGGAATAAATAGTTCCATTCCCTGTAGCACTACATCAGTGACAGAGTCAGCAACAGCGCTAGGATCATCCGGCGAGAAGCAAACCCGCCCCCATGGGTAGGAAGCAAAGAAAGACCGCATTCCGTCCCAATCCGCCGACCTGTAATGCCAAACACGGCGGCAACCTGCAGAACGCAACCGCGAAGGGAGCGTGAGTGGCACCACACTCCGGATCAGACAATGGTCCGAAGAGCCAAGAGGGGCATCGACGGAAACCTGATATCCGTCCGGATGAGAGGTCAGCAGAAGGTCCAACAGGGAAGGTGTATGATCCTCAACATCTGGAATCCGCGTAGGCGATGTAACCAGTTGTGTCAGACCATATGCCAAGGCAAAGTCATAAACAGATCTCCCCGCATGATCGGTTAAACGTGAACCGAGCCATTCGGCGTGGTGGGCGTTAAAATCGCCAAGGATCACGATCTCTGCGGATGGGACCTGTTGTAGCAAGGAATCTGTAGCCATTTGGACGTGGTCGATGAGTCGGTCTGTTTCGGCATTACCGCTATGGGACCTATAGAGGCACACGTAGACGCGCGGATGGTCGTCGCTGTCTACGCGTAGCCAAAGGATGGACAGGTCCGAACCTTCAAGACTGCCGAGGCGTCGAGAACAGATGTCCTCTTTGACATACACGCAAACTCCAGCCCGAGGCACAAAGGAGTGCTCCAATTTGTACCCCGGGCAGGAGAGATACGAAGTATCAGCCGGAGAGGACACCTGCGTCTCGGTCAGAAAGAGCAAGGCCGGCTTCGCCGTCTCAAGATGGTAGTGGACGGCGTTTAGGTTCGAGTGAAGTCCCCTGATGTTGCAGAAATTCACGGATAGCGTGGCAGGGGTCGCCTTGGTCTTGTTGCTCAGTTTGCCCCGAGCAGTTATTGTGTTGAGCGGAATTTTGCCCCCCCCAGAATACGCGGGGCAGCCTGAGCACCCACGCTCAGGAGTGGAATAGCATGGTCGTGGATGCTCAGCGAGGGATTCTCCAGGGGTACTGGTACCCTCCTGGGGTAGTTTTTGACGTAATTCCGCTACCATGTTGATGGGGGGGGGGAATTGGGCATCCGGTCACCTGCACTCACCAGACGAAACGCGGAAGCAGAGCTTCCACTTCACGCCGGTATTCTGTGAGGTCGTGGTACTAACCCGGCTCGAGCCGGCCCATACGAGCAACAGCAAAAGCTGCTGCAAGGCTCTACCACCGTTAAAGCATTGTGGAGTTGTCTGCAGGTGTTCATAAATATTACTAATTTTATGTTGTACCGGGATTTATATTTTATATAAAAAGATGCGAGATGCTCGGTTTTATAGACGAGCGAAAAGTTTTCTCCGAAATCGATGACGGGTGTACATTTGGCCTTATTTCTCTATTGTTATAGTTTGAAAATTTTTTACCCCATACTAATGTTATATATATATATATATATATATATATATATATATATATATATATATATATATATATATATATATATAACATTAGTATATGTATATATATATATATATATATATATATATATATATATATATATATATATATATATATAATTCTTTTGTACGTGTGTTTGTCACTGAACTCCTCCTCCGGCTGTATTGTCTGTGTTTGAGTGGGTGGCTTAGATTCCAAATTGAACCTAGTGGGTGGCGCCGCCATTGCCATGGTGAACGGCGCTGGGTTCTAGGTTTTTTTATTTCCATTAAAGGACAACACAGTGTTTTTCACCAAGATGAAAACTCACTTAGCTCTTTATAATTCAGTATTAATATTGCATCTTAATTGAACCTAGTGGGTGGCGCTGCCATTGCCATGGTGAACGGCGCTGGGTTCTAGGTTTTTTTATTTCCATTACAGGACAACACAGTGTTTTTCACCAAGATGAAAACTCACTTAGCTCGTTATAATTCAGTATTAATATTGCATCTTACGATATCTGTACCGTCATTGATAACTGATCTTGGTTTTCTTAATTACTATGAAATTCCACAGATTATACTTATCATAATAACTACGTTAAAATGTTCAAAGTGGAGCGCTTGGCACCGAGGCTCCCACAATGCTTTTACAGTTTATTATGTTTATGTAATCTTAGGTAATCAGACAGGTCAGCAACGTGTAGGTCAACACTGTACAATGAACTTTGGGGCGAGCCGAAGGGCAGGTTTTCATTTGACCTTCTTTATATTCAGTCGTGAACGAACTTGAGATAATTACATTTTATTAGGTGTTGCGATTTTTTTTATAATGCAACCGATCACTTCTCGATCTTTGAGTGTTCTTTTTGTATTACTTTTTAAGTTGGCTGAGATATACCTAATAGTAAATTAAAAAGAAAAGTCACAGCATATTTACACCCACTGCTGAAACATCCTTTAACTTTAGAGAGGGTTAAGAAGCATTTTTTAAAAGATAGGGTGACAAACGAGCACACAGTCCACCTGATGGTAAGTGGTTGCTGTGTCCTATAGACATCTACATCTATCCTCGTTTGCGAATCAAAATGCAGATGCGTTGTCACCCGTGAGGACTAAGATAGAATGCCTCTTTTCCAGTAAAAATGGTCTCCGGTTCTCTACACTCACCATACGAAACACAGCAGCATTAAGCAGCTATTTTACGTCAGTATTCTGTGGGAGCGTGGTCCTTCCCCGGTTGAGCCGACCCATTCGTGCTACAACTATACTACTAATAATGCTACAGGCTCTACTACGTATAAAAAGTATTTAATTTTATTCCTCAGATATCGTTCCCTCACGATGTTTTCCTTCACCGCAACGAACGTAATGTCTCGTAGTTTGTAATCTTATTATCTCTACTCTTCAAACTGCAACACGACAGTGTTCTATGCTGCATTGGCAGAAATAAGTAAGATGGTGGTACTGGCTACATCGTTTCCCATGCAAAAATTTTATCATCAGCCCATCCGTCAGTATCATATTGTTTATTACGATATCAAAGGAACACAATGGCTTTTTTCAAGAAGTGTAGGTAACAAACGAGAACAAACCAACTGTAGATAGGTGGATGCTGTGGCACATACACAGCTACATCTATCTTCGATTATTAATCACTTATTTCCTGTAATAACATACAAGGAACAAACAGATTTTTTTTTTCTAGAGCATGGGTGATAAACGCGCACATATACCACCTGATGGTAAGTGCATGATGTGGCATATGGACACCTACATCTACCATTAATTAGAAATTTTATGAAGAGTCACTGTAGTCCTTGAGGGCTGAGATGAAATACCTCGTTACCAGTAAAAACGATCTCCGGTTCTTATTACTCACAATACGTAACACAGCTTAGGCTGCTATATCACTTGCTCTACTATGTGAGCCTGGTCCTTTACCGATCAAGCTGCAGCTGTAATACGAATGCACATATTCCATCACATGACACATGTTAATAGTTTACCTGAATTTGCAGTAATCACCGTCGTAGCTCCAACCAAGGTACTCGCCAGTCCTCAAGTTCTCACTCTGCAGCCATTCTTCTAGAGGTCTGAAGTAGTCCCTCAGAGCCTCGCCGTTCAGTCTGGCCTCGCCTATGCTCTCCTGCAGTATTTGTGCCCAGGGTGCTGAAGATCCTCTCTCCATGAGACGTCTGAAATAATGCAGAAAATAAAAAGCCTTAGTATTTCAATGATGGCGTTTTATTTAAAAATCAAAAATGTTAAATCAGCCTAAATTATCTGTAAAATTTTACTGCAGCGCTGCGAGCCGTGGGTTGTGGGTTCATACGAAAAAAGGTTTGACTTACAAATAATTGTATCCGGGTCTGTTTGATGGTATTTAATACTTTCAAGTGCATTTACCTAAATTAAATACCTATTTAATACATAAATTGCATTTGCAATTTATGTATTAGTGTAACAATTTAAGTACAATTAGTATATACAAATAACTATAAATAAATATATCTGTTTAGCAATATATTTGACACGGATGATTCATATAAGAAGCGTTGTCTTTTAAAGTTACGTAATAACTTTTTAAAAGCATACATATAAGGAGCTTTTCTGATGTCATCGGGCAAGAACTTCCAAAGACGTGTAGCCTGAACGGTGTTGTTAGAAGAAGAACGTAGAATCCTATCATGAGATGAGGAGAGATAGTGAAATTTGCTCTTAAGATAAGAAGGCTAAGATGGGAAATTTATTATGAAAAAAAGAACAACTAATTTTAATTCTGGAATTGCGCCTCTGCCCGATTGTAAGCCTTAATTGGCTTACATAGGCGTAGATCTATATTGCGAAATATGGTAAACGTACGAAGCCCAAAAATAAATCTTATACAGTTATTGAGAATGCGTTCCAACTTGTGGAAGTGGCAAGCCATTAGCTCGAAAAACCGACAACCGATGAGGAAAAAAGGTTCTCGAGTGGCAGCCTCGTACAGGTGGGCGAAATGTAGGGCGACCACCCACTAGATATAGTGATGACATGTAGGAAGTCGATGGATGCAGGTGGCACAGGACCATGCTTTGAACATTCATTGGGGAAAGCCTATGTTATGCAGTGTACAGGTGAAGGGCTGTAATGATGATGATGATGATGAAAGGAGAAAATATTTTTGACCTTTTTTTAAAGAATATATATAAAAATCCTATCATATACTTTCGCCATGGCAATATACCCTTTTAATGGCAATTTAGCTTTTATTAAAGACACTGCTGTTGCATATCTCCTGGTTTGTTTCCCAGTGTCACTGCTTACGCACGGCACCCACGGCACGATATTGGGAAGTGGATATTCTTACACCGTCACTACAGGGTATCTTATTTAAGTATTCAAAGTAAATTGCACTATTAACCACAAATAAGTTGCGTTGCAATTGACCAAGTGAGATATCCGACAAGACTGGCGAACTAGAAACAGATATCGGCTTACGGGAAAGTAGTCCAACAAGCAACATGATCAAGGAAGACCGCTGGCTAACAAATCTAGTGCTTTACATAAGCTGTATCGATATACAGGCTAGGTATTGTCTTACGGTAGTAAAGTACTAAACATTGTGTAATGCAGTGTAAGGAGTCAACCGGTCAGGAGTTTGCGGGACAGTCCCAGAATACAAGTTTCAAATTTTAATACAGCGTTGTAATATATTTGTAATATTATGAAGTTTATTTTTTTATTTTATTTATTTTAAAACTTAAATGTAACACCTTAAAGGGTACATACTCGTAGGGCAGACTTAATGCCATATGGCATTCTCTGCCAGTCAACCCTGGGTGTCAAAGACAATTGTAGGCAGGTGCGAAACGTAATACATAAATAAAGCGTACAAATTAAAATTAAAATATAATATTTACATAGTACACACATATAAGAAGTAAAGTAAAGTTGCAGCCTATTTACGTCCCAATGCTGGGCACAGGCCTCCTCTCACTTCTGAGAAGGTTTTAGGGCAAGGAAATGTCCGCCGCGCTGCCCCAATGTGTGTTGGCGAACTTCACATAGACATGTGAAGAAGACGAAATATCTTTTTTTTTATTTCTCAGACATGCAGGTTTCCTTACGATGTTTTCCTTCACCGCCGATCACGTGGTAAATCAGCACATAAATTGCAATTAACAATTTCATTGGTACCGACGGGGATCGAACCCGGATTGCTCGAGTACTGTGAAGCTTACAGCGAGCGCTAACCATCTGAGCTACCACGGCTATAGTACACACATATATTTACATACAATAATACATACATACATATACGAGTATGTAATGTGCATACATGCTTATAAACTTTATAAATAAATATCCGTATTAATATATAAATAAATAAGTAATTGAAGAAAAAAAAATGTCAGTAAGTGCCCTCAGGTAATGTTGTCGTAGAAGTAATTTAAAGGAGTTTTTATTTGTTGCATTCTTAATATCATTGGGGAGAGTGTTCCAAAGATGTATTGCTTGTATCGTAAAAGGGGACCTGAAAAAATTAGACATATGCCGTGGAAACCATACCCTCAAAAAAAAAGAAGTTCTAGTACAGATAAGTTATATTATTAAGTCTATCCACTTGAAACAATATAAAGAACACACTTGAGGCGTTGTCAACTTTCAAATTTTTTCCCGTTGTGGAAAATGTCGTGCCGCATAGTGGTGGTGTAGGAAAATTCACTACCTAACATCATCTATTGGGTGTGGTAAGAGGCGACATAGGGAAACTAAAACTGTGATTGTCATCAGCATATTCCTGATAATAACTTCAAACTATTAAAACTTTGCGGTTGAAAAACACGCCTGCCAAGCGTGGGAACTATGGCTAAATGCCATCCGTGTAATAATTTAATATATAATAACTCAATTTTAAGCAACTTCCGGATGCCTGAATAATCTGGATCTGGTATTCTCACTACAATTATCACAGCTCGTGGTTCAATGCATGTACTTTAAATTTATAAGCTCCTATTTAATAAAACCTTGTTTATGAATATTGTTTTGCTTGGTAGTATAGTATTTTATACGTGGTAGAGTCATGCTGCAGCTATATTAGTAGTATAGTTGAGGCACGAATGGGTCGGCTTGACCGGGGAAGGACCACGCTCTCACAGAATACCAGCGGAAAATAGCAGTTTAAAGAACAAGTACACGGTTAAGTACTTGTGAACCGTTACATTTAATCAGATAGGCCGTTATCATAGATTGATTTAACGCGGTCAATGTTATATTTACAATTGAAACTAAGTATTAGTCACAAGACTTGTGCATTAATTTTCTTTCGTTTTATAATTTTAAAACGTGGTAGAGCCATGCTGCAGCTATATTATGGTTGTAGCACGAATGGGTCGGCTCGACCGGGGAAGGACCACGCTCTCACAGAATACCAGCGTAAAATAGCTGCTTAACGCTGTTGTGTTTCGTATGGTGAGTGTAGAGAACCGGAGACTCTTTTTACTGGAAAAGAGGCATTCAATCTTAGTCCTCACGGGTGACAACGTATCTGCATTTTGATTTGCAAACGAGGATAGATGTAAATGTCTATGGGCTACAACAACCACTTACCATCAGGTGGACTGTGTGCTTGTTTGTCACCCTATCCTATAAAAATAAGAAAAAGTACATATGTATATCTATAGTACTTTGTGTAGTATTCTAGTCGTTCCCAAGATTTCAAATCATAAAGGCAAGTCGAAACTTTTTGGTTGACCTAAAAACTCTTGTGCTCGGGTTATCAAGGTCTCATCTGGAAATAGGGTTGGGCTGTTTACTACTTTTTATGCTGGCATTTTAATGGTCTTTAAGATTGAGCTAGCTATATCCACGACTTTGTCCACATGTAAGTGACATTAAGCAGTACAAAAACAATCAATCTTAACCCTTTTGAGATAAAACACCGCCACAAATACTAAATTAGTTTCAGTGAAATTATTACCATATATTCAGTGAAATTATAACCTTATTCAAAAACATCGACGTTAAAAGTTGCTCTCTCTCTTTTTACTAAATGGCAATAGAAAGAGACAGTTATAGAGATAATTAATACTTAATGTCAAGTAAGCGATAATCAACGATTATGAGTAAGTCTGTTAATGTATTAATTTCAATTATTTTTACGATTATACATGGACGTCTTTACAATGACGATTTTTAACGCGTAAAGTGTGAGTAGATAATATATTTTAATAAGCCTCCACTTTATGGCTTTTTTTAACAGTATTCATATAATAATTTTTATAACTTAAAAAATCTGTTTATAAATGTTTAATAGATTTAAAGTTTTATAAGTGTTATGCTACGGCGCTACGTGTCGCGGGTTCAATTCGCGCACGTTACAATTATTTGTATAGAAGTAATATTAGTGTCTGTACATATGCAATTTGAATGGGAAAGAAAGTTTCTCGAGTGGCAGTGTGATACGGTTAAGAAAAGTGTAGGCTGGCCCTCCACTAGATGGAGTGACGACCTGGGCCGTTCATTGTGGCATTCCTTGAATGAGGTCTATGTTCTGCAGGGGATTTGTGATAGGCTGTAATGATGATAGAATCCAGCAACACGACGGATTCTTTTCTGCTTGAAAATCATCTCATAAAGAAGAGAATATATTCATAAGTAGATATATGGGCTGTTACTTGCCCTACAATATGTAAGTATATAAATTGAAACAAAATCTTTCCATATTATTGCACAATTATATGTTATTATTCCATATTCTCTTTATATTTAATTTTATATTTTTAGGGTTCCAGATCCCAAATTAAAAAAACGGTCGTCTGTCCGTCTGTCAAGGTAATTTTTTTCAAAAGCGGGTATTAAGTTGACATTAATATCAGAAAATACTAAGGTGCACAATTCAATGGTGGTGGTAATAATCAAGCTACGCTACGCTGACGTAGAAGTTAACGTAAACAAAAATACATTCATTTACGTCAAATATTTTGTTAACTTAAAACTCATCAAAACTTAGGGTTCTTTCCGTTGAACTAAATAGAATCGCAAAACTTAGAAAGAAGCTTAGACTCACAGCGCAAGTAAATAATAAATAAATTTGAAAATCGTTAATTGTAATTATATCAAGTAAAAAAATATTTCTTGCGACAACAAACTTACATTGACTATACATTGAATCGATTACATTCTATGTGGGCGATGTATAGAAGAATTTTTT